CCCGCACCCACGGACGTGCTCCACAGACACGCACCCATAGACCCACACCCATGAACACGTGCCCACGGACACTCGCTCATGGACAGGCACCCACAGACGTGCTCACAGACACGCACTCAGGGACGCGCCCACAGGCATGCTCTGCTGTGAGCCCGTTTCTCGCTCTCGCGGCTCCCCCAGCAGGAGGCCCCGCCCGGCCACGCACCTCGCCCCGCCGGCGGCCGGAAGAAGTCGGCCGGGAAGACGACGGAGGACACCAGCTCCGAGGGGAAGGCCCCCCGCACGTCCTCGAACCGCGGCACCCAGGCTCCCGAGAAGTTGGACTTGTCCAAGACGTCGACGGCGAGGACTGTGGGACGGGGCTTCCCTCACACGCGGTCCGGGCCCCGCCCCCGAGCCCCAGCCCCAGCCCCCTGGAGCCCCGGCCTGAGCCCCCCAACGCCCCCAGCCCCAGAGCCAGGCCCCGTCCTCCTGGAGCCCCCCAGCCCCCGGGAAACCAGCCTGCGCCAGGCCCCGTCCTGCTGGGCGCTTGGCACTGAGCGGGAGGGGACGCGGCAGGTCCCCCTGCTGACTGGGCGCCGAGCCCCCAGGCCCGGGGCGGGACACCTGGCAGCTGTGGGGTCACGGCCCGTGACCTGATGCGAGCAGTGTGCCCCCTGCCGCCTGGAGAGACGCCGCTGGGCAGTGACAGGGAAACCCAGGGGCACTCGGGAAGGGACACCCTGGGGGAAACGGGAGCCGCTGTGCGAGGGGCCCTTCTCCCCAGGAGGGAGCGGGTGTCGGGCGCCGGGCACCGGGCCCGCCGGGAGCCCGTACTCATGTTGGCGGTGACGAGCACGAAGGGCCGCAGGTAGGTGCGGCGCAGGTTGCGGGCCACGGTGCGGCCGTAGTCCTCGAACCCGCGCAGCAGCTGGGCGGCGCCCTCCTCGCCGCGCTGGATCTGCTCCCACACGGCCCGGGTGCCCGGGGCCAGCAGGGCGCTGCCCGCGCCAACCACGTCCTGCCAGACAGACGGACGGACGGAGCTCAGCTCGAGGCGCCGAGCCTGGCTGCGGCACGGCCCCGGCTCCGGAGGCCGCCGGGGGCGGCGTTCCAGCTCCGGGAGAAGCCTGTGGGCCCGCGCCCCGGCGGCCGCCCACCTGGTGGAAGCCGGCGTCCCGCGTGGCGGCCAGCTCGAAGCCCTGCCGGCCGCTCTGGTGCTGCAGGAGCCGGGCCAGCAGCTGGGCGGCCGTGCGCACGTCCCCGCCGGAGAGCGCCGCCGCCTGCCGCGTGGCGTTGCCCAGCGCCTTGGCCAGCCGCAGCGCCCCCGGCCCGTCCAGCTGCGTCTCGTTGCGGCTCAGCTTCTCGTTCTGGAACAAACGAGGGAGCTACAGCCCTCCCCCCCGACCACCTCCGGCCTCCCCCTCCGGCCTCCCCCTCCCGCGGGGAGTGTCCGGCCCAAAATGAAGTGAGGAGCGAAGGACAGCGGCCGGCGTGGCTCCGTGGTGGAGCACCGACCTGTGAACCGGGCGGTCACAGTTCACGGCCAGGAAACAGGCCCATGGGGGGCGTGCAGGAGGCAGCCGGTGGATGATGCTCTCTCATCGCTGGTGTTTCTCTCTCCCTCTCCCTTCCTCTCCGACATCAACAAGAACATATTAAAAACCACAACGACCTGCTGGTGACGGGTACGAGAAAGGAGGCCGGTCAGGCCACCAGCTGACAGTCAGGCCCAGTGGGCGGGGTGACGCCAGGCGCTGGGAGGGGGCGAGAGGGAGGGCCCCACCGGAACCGGCGTCTCGGAGCCAGTGCACGGCGGGCTGAGGGGAACGAGGAGGCGTGTCCGAGCCGAGCCCGGCGGGGTCTGACCGCGGCCGCTGCCCCCCCCCCCCCCCCCCCCCCCGCGCGGGCCCTACCTCCGCTCCGAGCCCCACGAAGGCGGCCGCCGTGCAGTTGAAGAGCTCGGGGGGCCGCCAGCCCTTCTCCCCGCTGCAGTGCCGGACGGCGGTGCCTGCGGGGAGGGTGGGGCTGAGTCCCGCGGCGGCGCCCACGCCCGTGTCCCGCGGCGCCCACGCCCGTGTCCCGAGGTGTGCCCGGTGATGCCTCCCCTCGCTGGCCCCGGACCCGCGGGCCCAGCCACGAGGCCGGCGGGTGGTCCCATCTCCCGCCCGGGCAGTCTAAGCTGTGAGCCGCCTGCTCCCCTGACAGGCGGACGCTGGAGCGAGTCCTCGAAAGAGAAGCAGCCCCCCCCCCCCGCCCCGCGGACACCCCAGCGCCACGGGCACCCAGGCCGCGGCCACACCTCTCGGGGCAGCAGCCCGCCCGCTCTCAGCCCGGGCTGCGGGGAGGCCGCCGCTGTGCTGGGTGCGCAGCTGCCCCCCCCTCCCCCCCAGCGTCACTCGTTACCAAGGAGACGTCTTCCGTGTCCCAGCCCTTCGGCCACAGAGATTCCCGCCGGACACAGACGTCCGGAGTCACGGCCTCGCCGCTCCCGCAGCCAGGCCTCTGCCCCCCCTGCCCGGCTGGCGACCAGCCCCACTTACCCACGGAGCCCCTGGGGCACGGCACCGCGGCGGGCTGCCCGAACTTGGTCTGCGGCCACCAGATGCCGGCTTCGAAGGCTCTGGGGCACCCGCTGTAGATCACTGCGGGCAGAGGTGACACCCTCAGCCTGGCCCGGCCGCCCCCCTCCAGGGTGCAGGGCTCCGCTCACCCCTCCCGGGACCTGCCCCAAACCGACCCCCAGTGAGGATAGGGAGCGACCACTCTAACGAGGGCCAAGGTCACCGAGGGCAGGCGGACAGACCCTCAGGCTGAGCACCCTCCAACGCCAGCGTGTGCGATGCACACACACACGCACACACGCACACGCAGGCACACACGCACACACACACGTGCGCACACACACACGCACACTGTGCCCGGCAGCCTGCCCTGCGACAGGCCTCGCGGGGTCAGGCAGGGGCAGCCCGACCTTGGCAGCCGAGCGCGGTGACCTCGGCGAAGGGGCTGTCGCAGCGGTTGCACTGGCGGCCGAGGACGCCGGGCCGGCAGGCGCACTGGCCGGTGGCGGCGTCGCAGGCGCGGCTGAGGGAGCCGTGCGGGAGGCAGTCGCAGGGCAGGCAGGCGTCCTGGCCCGGGGGCTGGTAGTGGTTCTCCTGCGAACACCGGGAGCGCGTGGGGCCGTGGGCGCTGCGGACAGCAGCTGGCCCCCGGGCGCGGCCCCAGCAGCTCCCGGTGAAGGAGCCCCGGCCCAGGACCTCGGGCAGCAACGCACCTCCACCCGCCTCCGTGGGCACGCGTGTGCTCGTGATGCCCTGGGCTCGGGACACGCATGTGCTATGTCCAGGTCAGCGTGTGTAGGTGTGTGAGTAGCTGTGGGAGTAGGTGTGCACATGATTCCGTGGGCTCGGGATGTGTGTGTGCATGTGTCCAGGTGTGTGTGTTTGTGTAGGTGTGTGCATATGTGTGTGTATAGATGTGTCTATGCACGTGTCCATCTATGCACAGGTGGGTGTGTACACACATGCCTGTCTATGCATATGTGGGTGCACGTAGGTAGGTGTGCATGTGCGTGCACATGCAGGCATGTGCACGTGCACGCAGCTGTGTGTGTGTGCATGAGTGCCTATGCACATGCAGGTGTGTGCAGGTGTGTGTCTATGCACATGTAGAGGTGTGTGTGTGTGCGCGCGCACATGCAGGTGTGTGCCTGCATGCAGGGCCACCTCCCGGGCCTGGCACCAGGAGCGGATGAGGAACGTGCCCGCAGCCCCCGTGGCGCCTCACCTTGCACTGGCACTGCCCGCTGGTCTTGTTGCAGTCCGGGTCGAAGCCTCTGTCCACTGCACAGTGGCAAGGGCCGCACACGGGGCTCCCCCACCAGCCTCTGGGGCACGGGAGGTCGATCCTGCCGGGGAGCAGGGGCGGGTGCACACGGTCTCGGGGAAAGCCTGGGGGGCCGAGCCATCCCTGAGGGGCCTCAGTCCCCCTGCCGCCTCCCCCTCCAGCACCCCGACCTGAGCCTGCTGATCCAGCCCCGGCCTGGAGGCCCCGGGGAGGGCCCACCGCAAAGCTCCTTTTGGAGTGACGGCTCTCCCTTCTCCCTGGAGGCCACGGGACCCCCGTCCGGCCAGCTGCCTGCACGGCGTCGCCGGGCCACTCTGCCCGGCACTGCCTCCCTGCACCCCGGCCCAAACAGCACGGAGCCGGCTGCCCGGACCAGGGGCTGTCCGCACCCGTGTCCCCAGGCCCAGGGGCAAACGCCGGCCCTGGCCCCGGTGCTCAGAGCGGCCTGTCCCCGTGCGCCCGCGCCTCCATCAGCTCCGTGCAGCCACACGTGGGCCAGTGCGCCCAGGATCGGCCCCGCCCAGTCCGCCTGCTGAGCCAGCTGGAGACCTGGCATTGAAGGTGCGGAGGCCGGCCCGCCCCCTGCCGCCTGCCTGACCTCCGACCTCTGACCTCCGACCTCCGCACCCACCTGCTCTGGGCACAGGGGCTGCAGGTCAGCGAGCAGCGTGTGAGTCTCTGGGGCGGGACGTGCTCGCTGAGGCCCTCACCGATTTCACGCCAAGTCTGAAAACGGGTCCTCGACCCAGAATCACAGGCGCTCTGCGCTGCCACCTCGGGGAGAAGCGGGCAGGAGCAGCGCCTGCGTGGCTCTCACCTGTTCTCGCAGTACGGCCCATAGCGGCTGGCCCCGCACTCACACGTGTAGCCCCGCGGGGAGCCGGGGCTGTGCACGCAGGCCCCCGCGTGCTCACACGGGTTCAGCTGACACGCGTCCACACACTTCCCGCCGAAGTACCCTGTGGGGACAGGCCCGCGTGACCCGCCAGGAGCCGGCCTCAGCCAGACACCGGCCCCGGCCCCCAGCCGCCGGGGGGAGGCCGGGAAAGGAGAGCCTGCGGGGCCACACGGGGGCACAGACAGGGAGGGCAGGCGCCATGGCAGCGGGTCCCGGCCACCCAGGACACATGGTGGGCGGGTGCCCGCTGGCACGGCCACAGCTCCTCCAAGCTCAGAGCAGATGCTGAACACACACCTTTAGGGATTTGTGCTTTTACTGAGTTCTCCCCCGTCTCCTGGGCCCAGAGGCCCGGCCTGGCGCCCTCTGCCCGGGTGCAGAGACGGGAAAGTGTTTAAGAAGCGATGCCCAGTCTGGCCGGCGAGGCTCGGGGCTGGGGGTCGGCCTACGGCCTACGGATCAGGAGGTCACGGTTCCACTCCCAGTCCCGACACAGGCCCGGGCGGTGGGCTCGGTCGCCAGCAGGGGGTGTGCGGAGGCAGCCGACCCAGGATTCTCATCACTTACCTCTCTCTCCCTCCTCTCTCTCCCTTCCTCTCTGAAATAAGTTGATGGTACGGGGCGGGGAGGGGGGGGGCGGGGGGGGGGTGTCAGGGGCGGCGGCCGCTCACCTCGGTCGCACTCGCAGGAGTAGCCGTCCCAGGCCTCCAGGCAGCGGCTGTGCGGGGGGCAGGGGCTGGAGGCACAGGCCTCGCCCATGTCGCAGCCGTCCTTCACCCTGACCTTGAGGGCGTCGTCCATGTTCAGCGTGGCGACGTTGGTGGCTGTCTCCCCCATCCTCACGCCCTGCGCTCAGAAAGGACGTGGACTGGACCCCGGGCCTCAGGGCTGGGGAACCCCGAAAGGTCACCGGTGCTGAAGGACCGCCCCCCCCAAATGCTGCCCGTCCCTCGTTCCTAAAGGGACCCCGTGTTTATCTGGGCGCCAGGGCGAGGGGCGAGGGGAGCGGGGAGGTGGGGCCACGGCAGGACGACGTCTCCCCTCCCCAGGCTGCGTTCCAGGGGACAGGCCCCCACGGCCCTGCGGCGGTGAGCTCAGGAGGCAATGCAGGCGGTGACGGCGGAGGGCGGGGGGGGGGCACGCTAGGCAGCCCACGGCAGAGGCCGGCGGAGCGAGGGCGGCAGGGGCGCCCAGGCAGGCAGCACAGGGGCTGGGTCTGGGGAGTTCCAGGCAGGAGGCCCGGGCGGAGCACAGAGAGCTGGGGAGGGGCCCAGAGCACGCGGGGCGTGGGGGCACCAGGGGAGGGATCGGAAGGATCTCCTTGCTGGGGGAGCCGGGGAGGGGAAGCCGGGGCCGTGGGAGCCGGGCCGTGAGCCAGGACGCAGGCTGGGCCGCTCCACAGACAGCGGCCAGACAGCACACCTGGACGAGGGGCAGGTGGGGCCGTGCGGGTGGGCCCGGTGGACAGCGGGGCAGGTGGAGGCAGGAGGGCGGAGCAGCAGGTGGAGGCAGACGGAGGGGCTGGGGGAGGACGGGGGAGCTGGGCCTGGTGGACAGCGGGGCAGGTGGAGGCAGGAGGGCGGAGCAGCAGGTGGAGGCGGACGGAGGGGCTGGGGGAGGACGGGGGAGCTGGGCCCGGTGGACAGCGGGGCAGGTGGAGGCAGGAGGGCGGAGCAGCAGGCGGAGGCGGACGGAGGGGCTGGGGGAGGACGGGGGAGCTGGGCCCGGTGGACAGCGGGGCAGGTGGAGGCAGGAGGGCAGAGCAGCAGGCGGAGGCGGACGGAGGGGCTGGGGGAGGGCGGGGGAGCTGGGCCCGGGTGTGTGAACGCTGGGTCGGCTCTCAGACAAGCGACTGGACCAGCAGGTCGCCATGGCCACGGCTCCCGCGCGGGGCAGGCCGGAGCCAGCGAGGCGCCCGCGCCCGCCGTGCGTACCTGCATGCAGCCCCGGAAGCCGCGGCGCACGGACACGGTGTCCTCCGGCACGCCGCCGAGCACCACGCTGCGCAGCCGCAGCCCCGGGAGCCGGCTCCCGATCTGCACCGTGCCCTGCGGGGAGGGGACACCGCGGCCTCTTCACCCGCCCCGGCCCCGGCCTTCAGGCGGCAGGCGGCCCGGCCGGCGGCTCCGGGGCTGAGCGTCCCCCTGGGAGCCAGGAGGTCCCGGTTCCGGGCCCGGTCAGGGCACAGGCGTGGGTTGTGGGCTCCATCCCCAGTGGGGGGCGTGCAGGAGGCAGCCGCTCCATAATTTTCTCATCATGGATGTTTCTCTCTCTCTCCCTTCCTCTCTGAAATCCACAAAGTTCATTTAAAAAAATGAAAGTAAAACAGCGGGCAGGGCTCAGCTGCGCTTGGAAAACCGGCTGCTGTCCGTGTGACGCGTGAGGCGTGGGCACCCGTCAGAGGCCACGTGGCCACGTCCCAGCCAGCGAGCTGGTCAGCGGGGGACGCGGGCAGCCCTCCCCCATGCCGGGCCTCGATGTGGGAAGGGCCTGGTGAGCGGGGAGACGGCAGCGGACGGGAAAGGCCCTCGGGGGGCGTCTAAGGAGGCAGCACCGGAGCCTCGGCCGGAAGGCGTGCCTGTGGGCCCCGCAGCCGTTCGCCCACAGCCAGAGCCCAGCAGCCGCCCAGGCTCCTGTACCCACGCCTCTCCTCCCCCCGCTCCCCACCTCCCCCCCGAACCATGGCGACTGTGTGGCTCAGTCTGCGCTCCGAGTGTGCCCTGGGCTGCCAAGCGCCCACCGGGGACGGGTGCGCCTCACGGGTGCCCCACGGTCCCTCTGGCTCCTGGGCTCACAGCTCGCCCCCCCGCACACCCCATCCGCTCTGCGGTTTTCAGTCTGCCCCCGGAGGCACAGCACTGAGCACACACCCTCCTCGGCGGCCCGCTAAGACCCGCTGAGGCAGCCATGGCACCAGGAGGGACACCGGAGAGGCCCAGGTCCTGACCCCAGGCACTGCCGCCTGGGCAGGGACCTCAGCATAAGGCAGGATGTGAGACCCACACTCGGGGCTCACAGTGGGCGGCCCCAAATCCACCCGGTCCTGGGCTCCCCATGACCCGGGAACGGTCTGATCGGAGGCCGGGCCAGCCCACCTGGTCCGCGCCGTAGTCCAGGGTCAGCACCGCCAGGTACTTGATGTCCTTGCCCTCCTTGGCGCTCTTGAGCTCAACCAGCAGGTGGTGCCACTCCCCGTCCGTCACGCGCGACCGGGACAGCCGCACGGACGCCACGTCCTCGGGGTCATGGGCCACGGAGAACTGCACGTGGCTGTCCAGGATCTGTGGGCGGGAGCCACGGGGCAGGCTTAGAGGCTGCGCAGGAGACCGACCAGAACCTGGGCCACACCTCACTCCGCGTGGCCTGACACCTGTGGAGCGCCACGCCTTTCCCGCAGTCCGGAGCGTCAGACGCTGCCCTGGCCGGGGTCCCAGGGGTTAGAGCGCTGGCCCACGGGCCGAGGACCCTGGGTTCGATTCCCAGTCAAGGGCACGTGCCTCGGTGCAGGCTCGACTTCCGGCCCTGGTCTGGGGGCAACCAACGTGTCTCTCTCACATTGATGCTTCTCCCTCTCTCCCTCTCCTTCTCTCTCTCTCCTCCCTCGCTTAAAAAAAAAAATCAATGGGAAAAGCATCCTCAGGCAAAGGTAGAAAATGTGTCCAATGCGGACGTGGTCAAGCACAACAGCCCCCACTCAGCGCTGGGAACATACGCCGACTCAGCCCGCTGAGCTCTGATCTGGGTGTAACGGGACCCTATAGGAGGCCAGATCCAGGTCCCGTGCTCCAGGGCACACACAGGCCACGGAAATCAGCCTCGTGACTGGCCTGAGCCATTCCCGCTTACAGAAAACGCAGCCCCGGGGCTGGGGGAGGCCGGAAGGTGCTCGGGGCGACGGGCACAGCCTCCTGAGGACACCAGCCACGTGAGACCAACACAGAGCCCCCCAGCGGCCGCCCAGCAGACACGCGGCCTGTGACCCACAGCCACAGCCGGACCCCGCGGAGTGGCCTTCCCGGTGACCGCCAAGCACCGCTGCCTGGACGCCGGTGCCGGGGCACAACCTGGCATGTGGGTCGGTGCCCCTCTCGGAGCAAACCAGTGGCACTGCCTCCTCTGCTCTGGTTTCAGGTCCTCCCGTTTCCACCCGCCGCCCAGCCCTCAGCCGGGAATGACCACGCCCGGAGACAGGACCGCCGCCCGCCGGGAGCCGGAGGCAGGCGATGGAGCCTGGAAAGCAGCACCGCCGGGCGCCGGCGAGGACAGGCAGGGGACCGGGGCGCCCGGGGATCAGGGGCCGCACCCTTCGCTTTGGAGGTGAAGGCGGCATTTGGTGAGGTCAGACCCAGGCCCCACGTAATGCACAAGGCAGGCCAGGAAACGGCGCCGTCGCTGACCTTCCGTTTCAATACGCACGGAGCGACCAGAGATCACGAGAGTCCGGCCACTCAGTAACTTCAAGCGAGGCCGAGGGAGAAAGCGGCCGGTGTGGCTCAGGTGCTGAGCACCGACCCGTGAGCCCAATCACCATCTGACTCCTGGTCCTGGCACAGCCCAGCGGGGGGCGTGCAGGAGGCAGCGGATGGATGATTCTCCCTCTCCTTCTCCCTTCCTCTCTGAAATCAATACATCTATTTTTTTTTTAAAGGCAGAGTAAAAAAAACAACAAAAACGACTCCTCAGAGGCGATGGCTGCCAGTGACGGTGAGCTTCCTTTTCGGTAAAAATGGTCCAGGTCAGCAGTGATCCCTGTAGAGCCCGTGCTGTGAGTGATTCCAGAATCTCAAAGGCTGTGGTGGGTCAGAGAATCTGCCACCCAGGTCCCCGTGTGAAGCAGGCGTACCCGCCGCTGCCGGGACCCTCGTCAAGATGAACCCAGAAGCTTGTGAAACAGAAAAGGCAAACCTCGAGCTATGGATGCGCTCCTCGCAAGACGCACAGCGGCCACGTGAGGGCGCCCAAGCGCTGAGGAACGGGCAGAGAAAGGAAGAGGGTCCTGCAGCCGCTGCCAGAGCAGGGCGCAGCGACAGCCGGAGCCCACGCCGCCTGCGGGGCACCCACAGGCAGAATGGTCAGCGCCCACCCTCAAGATGGCAGGTTAAAAAAAACAAAACATTTTTTATTGATTTCAGGGAGGGAGGGAGGGGGGAAAGAGAGAGAGGAACATCAGTGATGAGAGAGAATCACTGATCAGCTGCCTCCTGCACGCCCTCCTGGGACCCAGCCTGCAGCCGGGCAGGTGCCCTTGACCGGAACCGACCCTGGGAACCCCCAGGTCACAGGTCAGGCACGCAGCCCCCGGCCGGGCTCTGCTCGCCGTATCTGCTAACCAAACCCAGAGCCCGAGGAGCGACGAGAAGGACACACGTCTGCACCCAGAGGCAGTTCCGGGGGCCGGATCCGGCCGACGGCGGGCCCGCCTGGCACCTCCCGCCTGTGGCAGGCGGATTCCGGAGGCGCTGACAATAGCAGGTAATCCCGCTGACAATGCCGGCGGGCTCAGGGCGCCCGGAAGCAATTACCCGATTGTCTGGGTGCCTGACGACAGACGGTACCTCTCGCCGGCCTGTGGGCGGCCCCAGAACCCACGCTGCCGCCCTCGGGACACGGGGTCTTGGGGGAGGGGCTGAGGAGGCCTGCCGTCCACCAGCAGCCCGTGGAAATGAGCCAGGGGTGCCTGGAGGGACCGGCCTTTGGGAACTGCCCTGGGGCCGTCCAGGTGGCCGAGGGGGCCTGGAGGGTCCTCCCCATGGCCACCGCTCTGGCCACCCGGCCTCCCACGGGGAGGGGCGTCCCCCGCCCCGGCAGAAGCCTGACCCCCCGGGCGAGTCCCCGGGACTCAGTGACTCAGACAGCGACCCCGTGCCAGGCAGCCGGCTCCTGTCCTCACCGCCGGCACAGCGTGTCAGTGTTCCAACGCGAACCCTCCACCGAGCAGCCACCCAGGCCGCCCCGAGCCTGCCAGCTCCGGCCCAGAGCTCGCTCCTGGCTGCCCGGAGTTCCTGGGAGGTCAAGGTCGTCAGGAGCAGCAGCCCGCCTGCAGCCCGGCAAACGCGCCTGCCCTGGGACCCGGCCAGGGGCCGCGGGGGGAGCGTTGGGGCTCTGAGCCCAGCCCGGCCACGCCTTGGGGCTCTGTCCTAAGGACCTGGCCCGGCCCACACTGGCCTCCCCCGGGGGGGCCGGGGTCCCTTGGGTGCTGCTCTGCAGAGCGCCCGGTCACACCCATCGGCCGGGCCCGGGGGCACCGTGCTCACCTGGAGGTGGAGCCGGGAGGACACGCCCGCCGTGGCCTCCATCAGCACGCCGTCCGCCGCCCGGGTCCGGAACATGAGCCCCAGGTACCAGGGCACCGAGATGGTGACGTCCAGGTCGCTCCAGGACACGACGCTCTCCCCGCCGAAGAGCTGGGGGTACGGCATGACTGCGGACACGGACGGACGCCGGGTCAGACAGGGTGCGGGCCGGGCTCCCGGGAGGGGGCCTTCTCGTGTTTGTGCGAAGGCCCCGCTCAGACGCCCCGCCCGGCCGCGGCCCCGGATCCAGGCACCGGAGTCCCTGCGGGAGCCGCCGGGACGCAGACCGCCTTCCTGGGGAGTCAGGCTGGTCCCCTGTGGCCAGGGCCCGCAAGGCTCTCAGGCTGGACGGCAGGCAGAGGGGGCGCTGGGGTCCCCAGGCTCCAAGGACAGGGTGCTGGGGGCCCTGAGATCAGCCTGCCCGTCCCCTCCCACGCCTGCCGGCCGGTGCAGGAGTCAGGGTGGGGGTGGGCACAGGACGGTTCCAGCGGGACCGCGCCCAGCAGGGAGCCCACAGGCGTCTGTGTGGGCTCCCCGCCCAGCACACGGCCCCGATGGGCCCAGACGGGGCAGGCCACCGGACAGCTGAGGGCTCCAGGTGGGGGTGGTGAGGGAGTGACCACAGCCCCGCGGCTGTTACCCTGGGAAACCGGTGTGTGTCCACTGACCGCAGGGCGGAGCCAGCCCCTCGGTCACGGGTCCGACTGCGTGTGGCAGGCAGCGTCCATGCCGGGGCTGGCCCGATTCCCCGGGGCTCAGAGGCCCCCGCGGGGCGCCGCCCGCTGGCCTCAACCTCGTGAGCCCGCGTGTTTCCTGCTCCCGCGACCCCGCCCTGGCAGCTGTTTGCTCTGGCGGCCGTGGCCGCCCTGCGGCCTCCATCACAGGAACCCGGGCTCGGCGGCCACCGGCGCTGTCCACCGCCCGCCGCCCCCGCGGCCTGAGCTTCCTGCACATGCGGCCAGTCAGGGTGGGGCCCTGCCTACAGGCCTGGAAGCCTGGCCCTCTGGCTGCCCAAAACAGGCCTAGAGAGGTGCCGGGCCTTCTGGGACACAAAGGGGCTGGCCCCGGCCCTGGCCCTGCCCTGGCCCGTGAACCATCCCGGACGAGGCTGCCATGTGACACGGACCACGCCGCAGCCCGACGCGGGGCCTGGGCCGGACGGGCAGGCTGACCAAGGGGCAGGACCTCCGCCCCCAGATCCGGTTCCCCGTCTGCTCTGAGAACCGAGGAAGCTGTGGGCCCCAAACCGTCACGCAGAGCCCCACGCGGTCCGTGGGTGCCGGGCCTGTGACCCCACAGCGAGGCAGTGCCCCCGCCCCGGTGCTGGGGAAGGCAGGGCCGCTCCTGTCCCGGGGGCTCGGGGCCAGCGGGCGTCTCCAGGGCAGGAGGTCTCAGGGCTCCGAGCACGGGCACCCCCGGAGGCCGGCCCAGGGGCACGCCGAAGCGATCCGGCCTCAGCCAGCCCCGTGGGTTCGTCTCAGCTCCGAGCATCGTGATTAAGAAACGACACTTGTGCCAAAACCAGTTTGGCTCAGTGGATAGAGCATCGGCCTGTGGAGTGAAAGGTCCCGGGTTCGATTCCGGTCAGGGGCATGTACCTTGGTTGTGGGCACATCCCCAGTAGGGGGTGTGCAAGAGGCAGCTGGTCGATGATTGATTCTCTCTCATCAGTGTTTCTTACTCTCTATCCCTCTTTCTTCCTCTCTCTAAGAAATCAATAAAATATATTTAAAAAAAAAGAAAAAGAAAAAGAAACACTTGCTCATTGCCGTACTCTGCTTCTAACCTACTGCACCGCTCAGACCACAGCGCCACGGCACAGGGGCGGGGTGTGGGCAGCCACGTGGCCACGGGAGGGCCCCTCCAGGCGGGAGGGAGGCAGGGCGCAGGCCTGTCACCCCCTTCGGCCCTGGGGAGCCCAGGAGGCCCCGCCGGCCCGCCCTCCTCGCTTGCCTGACCCTCAGGCTGGGCCCTCAGGCTGGCTCTGCTCAGGCCGGCGCTGTGTCCCGCACTGTCCCAGACGTCCACCTGCTCGGACGCCCTCGGGCTCTCACTGCCCAGGGCCTGTGCTGCTCCCGCTTCCCCTGGACCCTGCTCGGGACCCCCGTGCCCCCAGCCCCGGGCGCGCACTCAGAGCGCCCTCAGGCCACCCCGCGCAGGCTCACCGTGCTCGCAGTTCTTCCCGCCGAAGCGCAGCGGGCAGCGGCACAGGTGCGTGTTCCAGCGGCTCACACAGCTGCCCCCGTTCTGGCACCAGGTCCCCTCGCAGAAGTCCCGCAGGGCGGCGCAGCCTGGGAGCAGAGCCGGCGTGACAGTCCTGGCCGGTCCCAGCACCGGTCCAGGGGGCGGCCGGGGACCCCCGCCCCAGGGACAGGCCGGGAACCCCCGCCCCAGGGACAGGCCTCAGCTCTCACATGGCAGACGGGGCTGCAGGCCAGCCCGCGGGTGGGTGGGCGGGGTGTCCGGGGACACGGAGGGCCCCCGGGGTCGGTGACCGGCCGGCCCAGCGGGATCCCTGCCCCCCACAGCGCAGGCCCCCGGCCCCCGAGAGCGGCAGCCCCGCCCGGCTCCGCTCCCTCGGGACGCGCGCAGGCCCGGTCTGGGGGCGCGGCTCCAGGAGGGGGTGCCCTCGGCGTGGCCGGGCGGCGCCCTCCCTACCTGCCGTGGTGCCGTTGTTGGCGATGAAGCCGGCCATGTCCACGCTGTGGCCGTCGATGGACAGGTTGCGCATGCAGCCCACGAACTGGTGGCTGCGCACCGGGAAGGCCTCGGGCAGGTCGGGCACGCCGCCCAGGAGCAGCGGACCCGTCAGGTCCAGCGATCTGCGGGGCAAAGCCGGGCCGGTGACGGCGGGCGGAGGCGAGGGGCACAGGGCCGTGACCCACCGGCTCACACAGGTCACCGGCCTCGCCGCCGCCGCACAGCCATCCTGAAGGTCAATCGGGGACAGGGGCCTGGGAGGCAGGGCCTCGTCCGGACACAGGCGGTCCGCCCCGGGTGCCGCGTGGCGTTCGGGCTCCGGGAGCCTCGGCTCCCTCCTGACCCCGGTGACCGCCCACCGAGTCCACGTCGGAACAGGGCGGACACTGCCAATCAGGCTGCGGCCTCCGCCGGCCCTGACGACCTTGGAGGACGGTCACAGACCCCGGTGCTGCCTGAGCAGCCGCGTGGCCTTGGCCAGGGGTCAGACCTCTCTCCGCGGTACAGCCTCCTGGTCGGTCACACGGGCTGGAGCCCCCCCCCCCTGTGGTGGGGGTGAGGGTGGGGGTGGGAGAAACAGGCGTGTGACTGCCCCCAGCCCCCAGCAGCACTATCGCCCCCTGGGGCTGGGCTGGACAACTGCATCTAAAGGGACAGACTGTGGCTGGGCCTGCACGGATCAGTGACTGAGCATCAACCTATGACCCAGGAGATCAGGGTTCGATTCCCGGTCAGGGCACAGGCCCAGGTTGTGGGCTTGATCCCCAGTGGGGGGGGGGGGCATGTAGGAGGCAGCCAGTCAATAATTCTCTCATCACTGATGTTTCTCTCTCTCTCTCCCTCTCGCTTCCTGTCTGAAATCAATAGAAATATTTTTAGAGAATAACGAAAAGTAAATAAATAAAGGGACAGACTGTTGAGTGTCAGAGGGAAGGCAGGGAGGGCGGCGGTGGTAAGAGATCAGCCAATGAGCTTGTCCGTGTCTGCACAAGCGTCTGCACAAACTGGACACAGGCCGCAGGGGTGAGGGCTGGGCCGGGTGGAGGCCAGAAGGTCAGTGCGGAAAAGAGGGAACGTATGTAATACTTCAAACAAAGAGGATGTAAAAAATAAGTAAACCAAGGGACTTATTCCAGGAAGTTCCCGAAGGTGCCCCCACCAAGGGGAGGGAGTCTGCCTGCAGCCGACGGGGTGCCGGAGCGCCGGGCCCTGCCGGCCGGAGCGGCGGCCCTGGGCGTGCAGCCGGGCCCCTCCCCGGACACTCACTTCTTGGAGCCGCTCTGCGTGCCCTGGGCCGCGCAGGTGTAGTTGCCGACGGCGCCGCCGAAGCGCAGGGCCACGGCCGTGTCACAGTCGTCCACGGTCACCACGGCCACCTTCTCCCCGGACGGCCCGTGGGGCAGGCCCAGGCGGCCGATGTGCGGCTGCGCGGAGAAAGCAGGGGGCGTCAGGGTGACCTCACCCGTGTCCTCGCCCACAGAGGGCGGGCCCATGGGGTGGCATGTGGACAGGGCAAAGGAGCCCCAGCCTTGTGTCAAATGTCCCCCAATCAGCCATACGGGGTTTGTAGGGCACCCCCAAACCTATGTCTCCCTGGAACCTCCGAATGTGGCCTCACTTTGAATTCAGGGTCATAAAGGTGGGGTTAAGATGAAGTCACACTGCCCACCCGGCCTGGCTCAGGGGTTGAGCGTCGGCCTATGAACCAGGGGGTCAGGGTTCAATTCCCGGGCGGGGCACAGGCCCAGGTGTGGGCTCGATCCCCAGTGTGGGCTGTACAGGAGGCAGCTGATCCATGACTCTCTCTCTCTTCCTCTCTAAAATCAGTAAAAATAAATTTACATACATATATATATACATATAAAAGATGAGGTCATATTGCAGTATCGGGACCTGACCCAATCACCAGAGTCCTTTGAAGAAGACAACCACAGAGCAGAGACACATGGGGAGAAGGTCACGTGACAAGCTGAGACAAGTGATGCTGGGACCCCCAAGGGATGCTGGGACCCCCCCCCAGGGGAGCTGGGACCTGCAAGGGATGCTGGGACCCCCAAGGGATGCTGGGACCCCAAGAGATGCCAGGACCAGTGGAATGCTGGGACCCCTGGGGGATGCTGGGACCCCCGGGGGATGCCGGGACCACCAGGAGTTACGAGGCCCACCAGGGGATGCTGGGACCCCCAAGGGATGCTGGGATCACCGGGGATACGAGGACCACTGGGGGATGCTGGGACCCCCAAGGGATGCTGGGATCACTGGGGATACGAGGACCATTGGGGGATGCTGGGACCACTGGGGGATGCAGGACCCCGGAAGCTGGAAGAGGCTGGAGGGAGCTGGCCCTGCCGACCCCGGATCCCAACTCAGACTGAGACAGCGGCTGTGCGGTTTCCAGCCCCGCTGGTGGTGTCCGGCCGGCAGCACCCTGAGCTCGGCTCCCTCCTTCGCACGGCCGCTCTGCCCGAGTCCCAGCGGGCTGCCCTGTCCCCCCGACCAGCCCCCTCCATGTCCTGGAGGAGAGACACCAGGACGCCACTGCCAGCCAGACGCCCACGCCCCCCGGAGCCACGAGCTGTGGTCACGCCGGGCCTGGCCTTCCTGCCCTCTGGAGTGACCTCCGTGCCCTTTGCTGACCTGAGGCTGGGCCCCGTTCGTGTCTGAGATCATGCCCCAGCTTCCCCCGACTTCACCCCCTGCACCAGGCGTCCCCCTCTGCCCCTCCCGCCCACCCCACCCGCCCCGCCTGTGTAAGAATTTCCCTGGAACCAGCGACTGAGGTGACTCCTGCTCCGCCCTGGCAGCAGCGCCCTCCGGAGGAGGCGCCGCGTCCCGCTCTGTCCCTGGGCAGCCCTCCCGTCCCAGCTGCCCCTCCAGACACCGAGCCGACCAGTCACACCACAGACGGGCTCAGAGTCCCCAAAACCGGCCGCGGGCAGAGGGGGGCTGGGCAGCTCCACCTCCCTCGGATGTGAACCACCGGTGGCGCCTGGAGCCTCACCCGGGGCACGTGTGAGCGCCACAGGCCTCGCCGACGGCCGCGACAGCCCCTTCCCTGCAGAGGGACACCCCATCGCCCCAACCACAGCCTCACTCCCCTCGGCAGCTCTGCTGCCAGAGCAGACAGCTCAATGCAGCTTCGTGCTATTTATATTAACACTAGAGGCTCAGTGCATGAAATCCGTGCAGGGGGCGTTCCTCAGCCTGGCCCACTCCCTCCCAGTCCAGGCCCCTCGGGGGAGGTCCGCCTGCCGGCTTAGGCCCAATCCCTCCTGCAGTCCGGCCCTCGCTCCTTACTCCCTGCCTTCACGGAGGCACCAGAGGCTCGCCAGCTATGAGCCCAGCTTCTGGCTGAGCGGCACCCCCCATGTGCTGAACGTCTGCCCCCTGGTGGTCAGTGTGCATCATAGCAACCGGTCATTCTGCTGTTGGGCTGATTTGCATATTAGGGTTCTGTTATAGGGGAGGGTTGGAAAGAGGTGGTTGGAAAGAGAGGGAATATAAACCAACCACCCTCAATGCCCTTGAGGAGGGAAGGAATGACCGTTCACTCCGGCAGAAAGCACTGGGCAGGGGAGGCCCTGGAGCTGCTGGTCACAGGCCTCAGCCGGCGGCCTCCCTCCCCGGGGCAGCCCTGGAGGACTCCCTGGAGGTGGTGTTCCGCTGCGCCTCCTGCCCCCTGCGGCCGCCATCGACCGGACAGGCCCATGGCTGGGCCTGAGGCTCTACCGGACACGATTACACGGGAGCCCCTGCCCTTCCTGCGTTACGGGGACTCGGCGGCTGACGCTGGCACGTGTGTCCCGGGCACCGTCTTCGATGAGTCCACGGGAAGCGATTACACCCCGGCCGCGCAGCCCCCGGGCCGCGGGCCTGTCCTCACGGAGGTCGCCGTGGCTATGCTCAGCGGTGAGAGGAGCGGGCAGTAACGTGCCCCCCGCCCCGCCCCGCGGGCAGGCGCTGGGGGAGCGCGGACAGTGCCCATTACGGGCTAAGTGCCTGGTGCGATGGTGGGAAGGAGCCGGCCCAGGCCGGCCCGCCCTGTCCATGCAGCGTGTAATTTGGATCCTGGGCTGGGCGTGCGCTCCGGGAGGTAAACAGCAGTTACCCCGGAGGCTTCGCACGGAGCTGCGTCTGCAGACCTGCCCGTCTGTGAGTGGCTGTTCTCGGTCCCGGGCGCCCAGGCCGAAAACCGACTCCTGTGCGTGGGCCACGGAGTTTCACTCGCACTGTACGTGTGCGCCCGCACGTGGCATTTTGTGGGAGAGCCACACTCAAGGGCCTAAGAGCTGCATGTGGCTCTCAAGCCGTGGTTTGCCGACCACTGGGCCCGGGCGACGCTGGCAGCATGCTGTGCCCGCACCGAGCGACACGCGACAGCTCCCTCCAACGCTTCACCGTGTCACGTGAGCGCCACGGCCTGTCCCTCTGGGAGCTCCTGGCCGCGCCACCCGGTCCCCGCTCCCGTCTGTGAAAGGGGGAGAAGACACAGCCCGGGGCCTTCCTCCCACGAGTGCCACAGGGACAGGCTGCGTGAGGGAGAGCTGAGCCGGGCCGGGGCGGGAGGAGGACCGGACGCAGCGGGTGTGTGTGAGGCCTGGGCTCAGGTCCCGGGCTGTGTCCCGGAAGGACAGCCCGCCCCGGGCTGCTGGCCTGCCGGAGCGGGAGGGGGACGCGCTGGTGGGAAGAAATTGGACCGGGCGAGGCGGCAGCGGCGGCCCTGCCCCTTCCCTCCTGGGGCGCGGCGGGTCTACACCGGCAGCCGGCCACGCCGAGGACCCTCCCCCACCCCGCCTTGCAGGTGCCAGGCCTGGGCACATGGGGTCAAGCAGGCACAGATTCGCCAGGTGAACCAGCCAGAGGGTGGACTGCAGCCCCCGTGCCCAGCAGGTGGCAGTGGGCGGGCCAGTGAGGCAGACCCACCCTCTACCCCCACCAGCTCAGTGGACGCCTGCAGGGCCGCCCCGGCTTCAGGGGCCACAGGCTGGCAAACCCCCGCCCTGCAGGCCCGCCCCCCGGGACCACACTCGGACCCCCTAATTCAGGTGGCGGGAGCTGTGCACAAAGCACTCGTCCTCAGCGCTCACATCCCACCGCCTTTCCCGTCACCGACGGCCTCCGGGGCCCGGCGGCTCGGTTTCAAACGCCGGGGTGGCAGGAGGCCTGGGCGCGGAAACCGGACACGGGAGGCCCCGGCCCGGCACCACCGGGTCTGTGCTCGTGTCAGAGACGATTAAGGACTTCACATCGAATAATCCACAGTCGGCTCCCCCCGCACCACGCAGGTGTGACCCCTCAGGCAGGCCGCGCCGGCCCCTCTCCGGTCAGCCCCGGGGCCCTCCCCAGCTCCAGGGAGGGGGCAGGAATGCGGGAGGACGGGTGGGGACAGGCCGCTCCCACCCTCGCCAGCGCTTCCCCTTCTCCTCAAAGACTTTCTGCCCCCCCGTCCCCCGCCTGCCCGGCTTCCTCCGAGGGGCCCTGCCTGCCCGCTCACGGGAACGCCAGGCCCTGGCAGCTCAGCCATGCCGGGCACGGGCACAGGCACAGACCCCGCCCGTCGTTCCCCTCAGTGAGGCCTGCTCACCGGCGGCTCCCCGCCCGGCCCCCGAGGCCGGAGACTGGCCTGAAGGCTGCAGCCTCCACGTGGTGTCTCGGCAAGGACAACGGCTGCCCGGCCCGTCTCACCAGGCGGTGCCCAGCGCCGGGGGAGACTCTGCAGCGAGGCCTGGTCCCCACCCCCACCCCCGCCGGCCTCACCGCGCCTGCCTTCGGCCGGGCCTTTGCCGCAGCATTAAACGTCCTGCCTTCGCCCGGCCGGGGCGGCTCGGCGTGCAGCGTGACCTAGGAACCAGGAGGTCACGGACGGATTCCCGTCAGGGCGCAGGCCCGGGAGGCAGCTGATCGATGTCTCTACCTCATCAGTATTTCTCTCCCTCTCCCTCTCCCTCTGAAACCAGTAAAAACACTGGAAAGAAAGCTCTGCCACAGTCATTGAACTGCGGGCTAACGCCGAGTCCCTGACATGAAGCTGCGCTCGCGTGAAGGCCCCCGGGAAGCCAGCCCTCCGGGGCTTCTCCCAGCCCCGCCCCCGAAGGCCCTGCCCTCCTCGAACTGGGGGGCTCTGCACCCACAGGAGCCCGTGTCCCTCCACAGACCTGACTGCTGCCACCCCGCCACCAGGGGCGCCAGGCCCCGAGCGGACCCCCGGCTGAGCCCACATGGTCCCCGGAGAGGGAGGGCAGGCGGCTCTGTGCCACGGCACTGTCCCTCCGGCCACGAGGGTTTCAGGTCACAGGGCATCTGTTCACACTCACCCACACGCACACACGCGCACACCAGCTCACACTCACTGTGTGTGCACACACCACACACTCACCAGGCCACACGCACATGTGCACACACACTCACTCACACACACACTCACCAACTCATACTGTGCGCACACATGCACACATGCACACACTCACCATCCCACACTCACTGTGTGCACACACCACACACTCACCAGGCCACACATGTATGTGCACACACACACTCACTCGTGCGCACACACACACACCAGCTCTCAGTGTGTACACACATGCACACATGCACACACTCACCATCCCACACTCACTGTGTGCACACACCACACACTCACCAGGCCACACATGTATGTGCACACACACACTCACTCGCGCGCACACACACACCCCAGCTCTCAGTGTGTACACACATGCACACATGCACACACTCACCATCCCACACTCACTGTGTGCACACACCACACACTCACCAGGCCACACATGTATGTGCACACACACACTCACTCGCGCGCACACACACACACCAGCTCTCAGTGTGTACACACATGCACACATGCACACACTCACCATCCCACACTCACTGTGTGCACACACCACACACTCACCAGGCCACACATGTATGTGCACACACACACTCACTCGCGCGCACACACACACACCAGCTCTCAGTGTGTACACACATGCACACATGCACACACTCACCATCCCACACTCACTGTGTGCACACACCACACACTCACCAGGCCACACGCACATGTGCATACACTCACTCGCGCACACACTCACCAGCTCACACTCACTGTGTGTGCACACACCACGCACTCACCAGGCCACACGCACATGTGCACACACACTCACTCACACACACACTCACCAACTCATACTGTGCGCACACATGCACACATGCACACACTCACCATCCCACACTCACTGTGTGCACACACCACACACTCACCAGGCCATACGCACATGTGCACACACACACACTCACACACACACTCACCAGCTCATACTCACTGTGCGCACACATGCACACATGCACACACTCACCATCCCACACTCACTGTGTGCACACACCACACACTCACCAGGCCACACATGTATGTGCACACACACACTCACTCGCGCGCACACACACACCCCAGCTCTCAGTGTGTACACACATGCACACATGCACACACTCACCATCCCACACTCACTGTGTGCACATACCACACACTCACCAGGCCACACATGTATGTGCACACACACACTCACTCGCGCGCGCACACACACACACCAGCTCTCAGTGTGTACACACATGCACACATGCACACACTCACCATCCCACACTCACTGTGTGCACACACCACACACTCACCAGGCCACACATGTATGTGCACACACACACTCACTCGCGCGCGCACACACACACACCAGCTCTCAGTGTGTACACACATGCACACATGCACACACTCACCATCCCACACTCACTGTGTGCACACACCACACACTCACCAGGCCACACATGTATGTGCACACACACACTCACTCGCGCGCGCACACACACACACCAGCTCTCAGTGTGTACACACATGCACACATGCACACACTCACCATCCCACACTCACTGTGTGCACACACCACACACTCACCAGGCCACACGCACATGTGCATACACTCACTCGCGCACACACACCAGCTCACACTCACTGTGCACACACCATGCACTCACTAGGCCACACGCACATGTGGGCGCACACACTCACTCGCACACATGCACACACACTGGTACAAAGCCCAGCTGCTCCTGCTGGGACCCTCTCAGCCCCTGTGTGCCCACAGTGTGCCCAGCAGCAGAGACGGCAGGACCCCCAGACTCCAGGCCTGGCCTCGCTTGACCTCTGTCTGACCAGCCTCCCCTCCCCCCGCCCCCTGTCGGCAGGCCATGAGGGAGCCGGGCTGGGCGTGCAGGGAGGTCAGGGCGTGCTGAGCTGCTGGCAGGGAGCTCAGAGGAGACTGAGGGGGCGAAGAGGCAGTCTCAGAGGGCGCACAGGGTAGGCGAGCTGCCAGGCCCCTCCCTCTGGGCCTGTTTCCCCTCCTCGCCCCGGTGTGGGGTGGAGAGCTGGAAAGAGGACACGGGCTGCATCTCATTCCCAGGGAAGGGAAGGAAGGGAAGGGGGAGCGGGTAGGGGTGGGGTGCGGGCGGCAGCAGGGGGAGGGGGGACATCAGGGCGCCCGGCCCTGGGACCTTCCATGATGTTGGATGGGCCGGGCGGGGCCCCGCTGCCGCTGGGACAGTTTCCACAGCAGGTGGCTCCTGCCCGCCCGCCCGCCTGCCCGCCCACCCCGCCGGGCTCCTCTCCGGGTGCCCCGAAGGCACGCCCACGCCAGGCGCCCCTTTGAGATGCCCCCAGGCGGAGGAGCCAGCTGCTCCCGGCTCCGCTGGCACGGCCCTGCAGGCTGGTTCAGGGCTCAGGAGACGGGGGGGGGGGGGGGGGGGGGGCAGCCGGAGGGGCCGGGCTGCCGTGTCCCTCCGCGGATGGTCGGGACTCCTTTCCATGACTCCCCGTCTGGGTTCCACTCGCCCTCTCCCTGGGCCCCGGGACTAAGGGGGTCACAGGCTAGGCCCCACGACTCCCCTGGAAATCAGCCCTCCTGGGCACCTCCTGTTAGGGTTCCCTGTTTCCTGTGGGGACCCTGATTGAGAAAAGAGCCCAGACGGGCTCCCAGGACAAACCGGGGGTCCAGGAGCCCCCAGACAATTCCCACCCCGGGGCGCTGAAATGACCCCATCTCGGGGAAGCGGGGTTCAGGGAGGGCGCCTGGAGCAGCGCTGGCCGGTGGGCGCCGAGGGCTGTCGGGGCCAATTATCCCGGCGCGTCATCCGACGCGGCTCAGGGGCTGAGCGTCAGACTGAGCCAGGAGGCCAGGGTGTGATTCCCATCGGCTCCTGCCCAGGTTGCGGGCTGGATCCCAGTGGGAGGCGTGCAGGGGGCCGCCGGTCCACGGTGCTTTCTCATCGTCGATGTCTCTCTCCCTCTCCCTTCCTCTCTGACATCAATAAAAAAAGCAACCAGCGAGGTGGGCATGGAGGGCACTGCTGCTGCTCGGGGAGGGGTCCCCGCCACCGGCACAGCCGCCGGGTGACTGCGGGGCCAGAGCCGGTGCACGCCCCAGCGCAGGGCGGCTGCCCCCAACGAACCCCTCCCAGCCGCCTTCCCGCTCACCGGCGGCCTGCTGGCCTCGGCCGGCAGTGCCCCTGCCCCCAAGTGCGCCCCCGAGCCCGCCCCGCCCACCAGGGCGCTGCACACGCCTGGGAGAGCGGACAGGAGGCCTGGGAGCCACGGCCAGAGGCAGAGGCCCCGATCTGAGCGCTGCGTGTGGGGCTGCGTGTGGGGCTGCGTGTGGGCTGCGTGTGGGGCTGTGTGGGCTGCGTGTGGGCTGCGTGTGGGCTGCGTGTGGGGCTGCGTGTGGGCTACGTGTGGGGCTGCGTGCGGGGTTGAGTGTGGGGCTATGTGTGGGGCTGCGTGTGTGGCTTGGCGCGCCGGAGGCCGCAGCACACGGAGCGAGTGGCCCGTTTCCTCCATGAACAGCCTGGGCGACAGGAACTGGCCGGCGTGGGGGTGAGCTCTGTGCTGACGGGGGGGGGGGGGGGGGGGGGCTGGCGGGATCGGGATCCGCACCTGCCTGTCCGTGGGCGGGCGGTGCCCCTCCCCCGGACGTTCCAGGCTCCGTGTGCCCTGGGGGGGAGTCGGGCAGCGTGCCAGGCGCAGAGTGACAGGCAAAGGGCGGGGTCTCGCCCAGCACCGGGCTTGTGCAGTCACAGGACCCTCAGCACAGGCCCCTTTCCTAAGGACCACGTCTGTGCAATCTGAGGGCACACGGGTCCCGGACGTGGGGCGTGGGGCCGGCGGGAACACGTGGCCGCCTACCTTGTTGTAATACTGCACCTGCACCACGTGCCACTGCCCGTCACTCACGCCCCCCGGCACCTGCGGGGCCACCGTGGTCGTGGTCTCACCTGGGGGGGGGGGAACAGTCAGCGGCCCCGGAGGCTGAAGCCCCCGAGGGTCTGGAGCCGAGATCTGTCCGGACGCCCAGGACGCAGGGTCTCAGCCTGTGCCTGTCTCCTGCCCACAGGCCTCCCCCGGGAGCCGCCCCCAGGGAGCCCGTTTGGAGTTCCCTCTCCGCGTTCCCACAGAAATAACTCGGCCGCGGCGCAGGCCTGGCTCGGCGGCGGAGCCGCGACCTGGGAGCCAGGAGGGCAGGGTCCCACCCCGGTGAGGGCACAGGCCGGGCTGTGGGCTGGACCCGGGGAGGGGCGGGCAGGAGGCCGCGATCATGTCTCTCTCCTCATCGCTTCTCCCTCCGCCCCTCTCTGACCTCAGTAAGGACAGTGAGAAAAGGAACGCTGCCGGCCAGTGCGGGCTCACGGCGGGCGGGCGGGCGGACAGACGGGCGGACGGACGGGGCGGACGGGCTCCGGGCCTACCTGCCGAGAAGGTGAGCTGCACCTGCTCGCCCACCACCTCCAGCGCCAGGAAGTCGTGCTTCTCGTTGAAGCGGCCGTTGTACAGCAGCAGCCCGTCCGGCTCCCGCGTGGCGAACCTGCGGGCCGGGGGCGGGCACAGGGCGGGTCACGGGGGCGGGTCACGGGGGCGGGTCACAGGGGTCACAGGGGGAGGGTCACGGGGGCGGGGCACAGGGGTCACAGGGGGAGGGTCACGGGGGCGGGGCACAGGGGGCGGGCACAGGGCGGGTCACGGGGGCGGGCACAGGGGGCGGGGCACAGGGGTCACAGGGGGAGGGTCACGGGGGCGGGGCACAGGGGGCGGGGCACAGGGGTCACAGGGGGAGGGGCACAGGGGGCGGGGCACAGGGGTCACAGGGGGAGGGTCACAGGGGGCGGGGCACAGGGGTCACAGGGGGAGGGTCACAGGGCGGGTCACGGGGGCGGGCACAGGGCGGGTCACGGGGGCGGGTCACGGGGGCGGGGCACAGGGGGCGGGCACAGGGCGGGTCACGGGGGCGGGCACAGGGGTCACAGGGGCGGGTCACGGGGGCGGGTCACAGGGAGCGGGGCACAGGGGTCACAGGGGGAGGGTCACGGGGGCGGGGCACAGGGGGCGGGGCACAGGGGTCACAGGGGGAGGGTCACAGGGGTCACAGGGGGAGGGTCACAGGGCGGGTCACGGGGGCGGGCACAGGGCGGGTCACGGGGGCGGGTCACGGGGGCGGGGCACAGGGGTCACAGGGGGAGGGTCACAGGGCGGGTCACGGGGGCGGGTCACGGGGGCGGGGCACAGGGGTCACAGGGGGAGGGGCACAGGGGGCGGGGCACAGGGGTCACAGGGGGAGGGTCACAGGGGGCGGGTCACAGGGGTCACAGGGGGCGGGTCACAGGGGGAGGGTCACAGGGGTCACAGGGGGAGGGTCACAGGGGGCGGGTCACAGGGGAAACGGGGCGGCTCACAGGGGTCACAGGGGCGGGTCACAGGGGTGGATCACAGGGGAGGGTCACAGGGGTCACAGGAGCAGGTCACAGGGGCGAGGCACAGGGGCGGGGCACAGGGGAGGGTCACGGGGGCGGGTTACTGGGGGTGGGTCACTGGGGCGGGTCACAGGGGTGTCGGTCACGCAGGGACAGTACACAGGGGGTGGGGCACAGGGGGCGGGGCACAGGGGCGGGTCACGGGGGGCGGGGCACAGGGGGTTCGGTCACGCAGGGACAGAGTACACGGGGACTGGGTGGGGGGTCACCAGCGGGACGCCAGGCTTGTTCCCAGAACCTGGGCCTGCTGGCCCGGCCGTCCAGGGTCTCCGGTGCAGGTTCCTCCCCGGACCCCTGGAGCGGCTCTGGGGAGGCCCCGCACAGAGGGCAGCTCTGTCCGCGCCAGAGACGAGGGCTCAGGAGGGGCCGGGCCCAGGGGAGGGTCTGGGGTGCGGGCGAGGGGGCAGGCGAGAAGCAGGGAGGACCCTGGGCGGGAGGGCACAGCGGGCGGCGGGGTGGTGGGGAGGGCCGGGGGGAGCCTGGGCGGGAGGGCACAGCGGGCGGGGGGTGGTGGGGAGGGTCGGGGGAGCCGGAGCTGCCGCCCAGGCACTCGGCAGACGGGCCGGGGAAAGAGCGGCAGGAGAGCAGCCGCCGCCCCAGCCCGCCGTTCCCAGGGTGACCGCCCCCCCCCATATTCCACCGCAGTCTGTCCCGTCCAAACACGTGACTGCCGTCCGGGTCATTCCCTACAGAACGCTGATTTGCCCGGCCCATATGGTTGAGCGCTGACCTGTGAACCAGGAGGTCTGGGTTCAATTCCCTGTCGGGGCACAGGCCCGGGTTGCAGGCTCCATCCCCAGTGGGGGGCATGCAGGAGGCAGCGGATCCATGGTTCTCTCTCATCCTCGATGTTTCTCTCTCTCTGTCCCTCTCCCTTCCTCTCTGACATCAGTAAAAAAAAAATTTTAAAATAAACTGATTTGACAATGGCCCTGGCCTCCTAGCCATCATCACGTGCCCTGGAAATTGCCCGTAAATTGCCGCCAAGCAGAGGGAACGTGTCACATGGGCGTGTGGGTACACGTATCTCTCTGGTCGCTCTGAGCCGGGAGCGAGTGAACTTCCGTGTCTGTGTCTGTGTCTGTGTCTGTGCCTGGGCCTCTGGCCGGCACCTTTTCGGAGGGATGGCCGAGCCTGGGCGCCTGGGTGCTGGGAGCAGGACCGTGCGCCCCTGAGGAGCTGCAGGCCAGCCGGAGGACAGCACGGACAGAAGGACAGTCGGCCGGACCTCGGCGTGGGGACAGGACGGATGGCACGACCTACAGCGGAAGCCCAGCCAGGGGCCCACGTGGTCACTTCAATGAAGGTTCCAGAGGACGGGCCTCGCCGCCCTCACGTCAGCACGTCCAGGAATGCGCCCGCCAGGACCTCGCAGGCGGGCAGGGGGAGGGTGGCCTGGCCGCAGCCAGCACGTCAGAGACGGAGGCAGTGCCCAGGCCTCTGCAGGCGGGAGGCAGCGTGGCCTGGCGCGGTCAGGGGCCTTCCCGGAGGAAGCAGCACGGGGGAGGGCGGAGGGAGAGGAAACAGCCTTTCGGGGCTGGGAGGGTCCAGAGAGCACAGGGGGCGAGGAGGCTCTGTCCCGGGACACAGGGTGCCAGGGTCAGGGGTGAGGGGTCAGGGGTCAGACCATGGAGGGCCTCCTGCACCTTAAAGATCTGGCTTTGCCCTGCTGGGGCGGCTCCGTGGCTGAGCATCGACCTATGACCTATGACAGTGGTCGGCGAGCCACACGCACCGCGTCGCCCGTCGCCGACCACCCGCCCGTACACCCCCGCCCCCGCCACCTCTTCAGACAGCGCGCCAGGCTGGAAACCGGCTTCGGGCACGGCCATGAAGTTTCGATCACACTGCACGTGCGCTCCGCGTTTGGTGTTTTGTGGAAGAGCCACACCCCAGGGGCCAAAGAGCCACATGTGGCTCTCGAGCCATGGTTTGCCAACCACTGACCTAGGAGGTGAGGACTGACCGAGCAAGCTGTGGCCCGTCCCCCCGGAGCCACCCGTACGTCCCGGGTCAGCCCACACGCCTGGCTTCGCTGGGTTTGGGTGACGGGGCCTCCCCGCCTCTCCCCAGGGGCCCAGGCCCGCTCGCTGACTATCCACACCCCGTTCTACGGGGCCTGCCGGACCCCAGGAGCGGAGCCCGCGCCATCCGGCCTGGGACGCCCCGAGGGCAGCAGGAGGGAGACCGCGCAAACACCCAATATAAACCCACCTGCTCGCTGTGCTCAACCTGACGGAATCTTTACATCTAAACCCTCTGGGGGACACGCCAGGAGCACGGCGCACAGTGGGCCCGCATCCTCGGGGAGACGCCAGGAGCACGGCGCACAGTGGGCCTGCATCTCAGGAACACGCCAGGAGCACGGCGCACAGTGGGCCTGCATCCTCGGGGACATGCCAGGAGCACGGCGCACAGTGGGCCTGCATCCTCAGGGACACGCCAGGAGCACGGCGCACAGTGGGCCTGCATCCTCGGGGACACGCCAGGAGCACGGCGCACAGTGGGCCCGCATCCTCAGGGACACGCCAGGAGCACGGCACAGTGGGCCCGCATCCTCGGGGACACGCCAGGAGCACGGCGCACAGTGGGCCTGCATCTCAGAAACACGCCAGGAGCACGGCGCACAGTGGGCCTGCATCCTCGGGGACACGCCAGGAGCACGGCGCACAGTGGGCCCGCATCCTCGGGGACAGGCCAGGAGCACGGCGCGCAGTGGGCCTGCGTGCTCCTGTGGCCCCTAGGGGAGCAGGGAGGGGGGCAGCCCGTTCCCTGGCGTGTGGGCGGCAGAGCGAGGAGCCACGCTGAGTCCCGGATGCTGAGCCCCGCGTCCTGTCCCTCCGCCCTGGGCCACCGGATACCAGGGGCCGGCGCGGCCAGCGAGCAGGACGGGAACCGCCTGGCCGCTTCCCCGGGTGACCGGGCGGCCCCCGGGAGCTGCCAGCGTGAGAGCAGGGAGCCCGCGTTCTGTTTGCTGGAGCCCGAAAGGGGCAGCCGCTCTCCAGCCACAGCTGATGAGGGATCTCTAGAGGGACGCCGAGCGGGTGCACGTCCACGGGGCGGGAGGGGCATGTCCTGGGGGGGCCACGCCCTGTGGGGGAGGGGACGGGGCAGGGGGGAGGGGACGGGCAGGGGGGAGGGGACCACGGCCTGCGGGGGGAGGGGACGGGCAGGGGGGAGGGGACGGGCAGGGGGGAGGGGACGGGCAGGGGGGAGGGGACCGCGTCCTGTGGGGGAGGGGACGGGGACGGGGGGAGGGGACGGGCAGGGGGGAGGGGACGGGCAGGGGGGAGGGGACGGGCAGCGGGGAGGGGGGACACTCACGCGAGCGAGACGCTGAAGCGGAAGCGCTGGCGCAGGCCGCGGAAGGTGACGAAGGAGCGGGGCGGGAAGCCGCGGGCGGGCACCTCGCAGTAGGGCCTCTCGAACCCGCCGGGCGGGCACACGCAGTGGAAGCCGCCGACGAGCAGGTTCACGCAGGTGCCGCCGTTCTTGCACACGCCGAGGGCGCAGCGGCCCGCGCGGGCGTTCACCTCGCAGCGGTCGCCTGGGGCGGACGGCGGACGGTCACACGGGCCGGCCCGCAGACACGGCCCGGGCGTCGGGGGGGCCGCTTCCCGGGACCCGGGGTGGAGGCAGCTGAGCCCGCACGCGGTGCAGGGAGGTGAGCACGACCCGCCCTGAGCACCAGGGAGCGGCCGACAGGACCCGGCCAGGGGGGCCCGGCCCTCCCCACGGCGTGCCGGCGTGCCGCGGCGCCCGGAGTGGAGGCCGAGCCTGCTGGCCGGCATCGCATGGGCCCGGCCCTCCACCGCCCATCGGCCGCCCGGCCCTCCAACCGAATCCCAACTCTTTTCAATGTATTTGTATTGGTTTCAGAGAAGAGGGGAGGGGAGAGAGAGAGAGAGAGAGGGAGGGGGAAAGAGAGAGAGAGAGAGAGAGGGAGGGAGGGGGGGAGAGAGAGGGAGGGAGAGAGGGAGGGAGGGAGGGAGGGAGGGAGAGAGAGAGAGAGAGAGAGAGAAGAGAAGAGAGAGAGAGAGGGAGGGAGGGAGGGAGGGAGGGAGGGAGGGAGGGAGGGAGAGAGAGAGAGAGAGAGAGAGAGAGAGAGAGAGAGAGAGAGAGAGAGAGAGAGAGAGAGAGAGGGGGAAGGAGGGAGGGAGGGAGGGAGAGAGGGAGAGAGAGAGAGGGAGGGAGGGGGGAGAGAGAGAGAGAGAAGAGAGAGAGAGAGAGAGAGAGAGAGAGAGAGGGAGGGAGGGAGGGAGGGAGGGGGAGAGAGAGAGAGAGAGAGAGAGAGAGACATCAATGATGAGAATCACTGATCGGCTGTCTCCTGCGCGGCCCCCGCTGAGGACCGAGCCCACAACCCAGGCCGGTGCCTGATGGGAACTGAACTGTGACCTCCCGGTTCATAGGTCAATGTTCAACCCCTGAGCCACACTGGCCGGCCCAGTCCGTTTCCGTCCCGTCTGTTTCTCCCGCCAGCCAGTGAGCTCACCCAGGGCAGGCACCGCGGGACTAGTCCTCCCTGGAACCTGGTCCCTCAGGGACAGGAGGCTCCGGAAGCTTCCCCGAGATGACCGCCTCAGCCCCAGGCCTGCCGGACCCAGAGCGCCCAGGACCAAGTGCTCGCCCACGGGAGGGGACAGCGGGCACCACGCTCTGAGCTGGCCGCCGAGGCCGCTGGCGCGTATGGCCAGGCGGCCCCACCCACACGGGGGCCTCGCCAGCCCCTGGCCACCCTGCCCGCTGCCAGAAGCTTCCGACAACAGGAAACTCACCCGCTCTCTGACACCCCTGGCCAAACAGTGATTTTTAAATGAGTGCCTTTCAAAACAAAAGCCTCCCACCCACACATTAAAAAACAAGCCAAAGCACAGCAAGCGAGGGGCCTGGGAGAGGGCGCCGGCAGCCGCAGGAGCGTCGGGCGCCGGGTGCCCCGGGCGCGGCCAGCAGCTGCCCGCCTGGCTCCCGCTGGGCTGAGGCCTTCCTGTGAGCACCGCCACCCCTCTCCTCGCTGGCCGCGCAGGCTTCCCCCAGAGCCCATCCCGCTGAAGCCAGCGGCGCTTCCCGGGCGGCAGGCGTGGGCGTGCACGCTGCTGACAGTTCTCCTTTACTGCAGACGAGACTCGGCCCAGCCTGCACCCTCTCCACTCCGGCACCCCTCAGACGACCCCTCAGAGAATGTCCAACTGCCAGTTTAGGCAGCGGATGGGGCTCGAACCGGCAGTCAGACTCCCCTCTCACAATCTAGGACCGCTGATTCCTGACCGCTCACCTGCCTGCTGTCTGATCGCCCCTAACCACTCTGCCTGCCGGCCTGATCGCCCCCAACTACGCCGCCCTCCATGCCTGATCACCCCTAACTGCCCCCATCCCCGCCAGCCTGATTGCCCCCAACTCCCCCCCTGCCAGTCTGCTCACCCCCAACTGCCCCCCTTGCCAGCCTTATCACTCCTTACTGCCCCCCTGCCGTCCTGCTTGCCCCCAACTGCCCCCTCTCCTGGCCTGCTTGCTCCTAACCCTCTGCCTCGGCCCCACCACGGTGGCTTCGTCTGGAAGGTCTCCCGGTCTAATTAGCATATCACCCTTTTATTGTACGGATTACTGTTCACCATCGTCCCGGTGAGCTCCAGGCAAGCCGCCCTCAGAACATTCCTGAAGGGCTGAGCCGATTGACCACACGTTTCTAGGTTTCATTCCCCTGCTCTGCCCCCGAGATGCCCACACTCACACGCCTCACCAACACCGTGGCCAACCCGCGAGCACGCTGCACGGCGACCACCGGGTCCCACAGGCGTGTGCGCGCAGGCGTTCCGGTGAGGCCCCATCTCCCTGGAGCCCGTCACCGCGTCCGTGAGCTGCCCTGGCTCCTGCGCCCGTGGTTCTGACGGTCACACGTGTTCCATCTCCACCTGCACGCACCCTCCACCCACTCCCGGTCTCACACGCGTGCTCGTACACACGCAAACACCCTTACACACTCCCGGTCTCACACGTGTGCTCGTACACACGCAAACACCCCCACACACTCCCGGTCTCACACGTGTGCTCGTACACACGCAAACACCCACACACACCCCGGTCTCACGCGTATGCTCGTACACACGCAAACACCCCCACACACCCCGGTCTCACGCGTGTGCTCGTACACACGCAAACACCCCACACATGCCCCGGTCTCACGCGTATGCTCGTACACACGCAAACACCCCCACACACCCCGGTCTCACGCGTATGCTCGTACACACGCAAACACTCCCACACACTCCCGGTCTCACACGTGTGCTCGTACACACGCAAACACCCCACACATGCCCCGGTCTCACGCGTGTGCTCGTACACACGCAAACACTCCCGGTCTCACACGCGTGCTCGTACACACGCAAACACCCCCACACACCCCGGTCTCACGCGTGTGCTCGTACACACACAAACACCCCACACACGCCCCGGTCTCACGCGTGTGCTCGTACACACGCAAACACCCACACACACTCCCGGTCTCACGCGTGTGCTCGTACACACGCAAACACCCCACACACGCCCCGGTCTCACGCGTGTGCTCGTACACACGCAAACACCCACACACACTCCCGGTCTCACGCATGTGCTCGTACACACGCAAACACTCCCGGTCTCACACGCGTGCTCGTACACACGCAAACACCCCCACACACCCCGGTCTCACGCGTGTGCTCGTACACACGCAAACACCCCACACACGCCCCCTCACAGCTGCGCACGCGCCCGCCGGCGCTCCGGCCCCCCCCCCCCCCGGCCCCCCGGGAGCCTGCGGCCTCACGTTCTCGGCATCAGCGCCAAACGCCAGCTTAGGGTCCTGACACCTGAGCTCTGCCTTCGCGGCCGCAAAGCACCGTGTCGCTCAGGAGTGTTTGCTCCCACGTCGGGGGCCGAGGGCAGGGTCTGGAGTAACGAGCCACCGAGAAAGGGCGGGCGGGGCGCTCCGCCGACCGAGACGGCAAACAGAGAGGAGAAAGCACTGCCCTTCCCGCGCCCGCCCGGACCCCTGCCCCGGGCTCCCGTCCAGAGGGCCCACGTTACCGGGTGACCGCGCAGCCCACGCCGGGCGCTCCCGGCTCTGCCGTGGCTGTGGCCGTGGCTGGGAGGCCGGACTCACTCCCTTCACCCACCCCGGAGCCGGGCTCCCGCGGCCTCCACCACGTCCTTTACCTGAGGGGTCACCGGCTCTGAGGCCCAGAGCGAGGGCCCGGAGCCGCTCTTGGCGGGAGGAGACCCGCATCTGCCTTTGGGCCGTGTCCCTGCTTCCAAACCTCGCTCCCCAGGCCGTCCTGTGACCGGAGGGGGCTGACGGGGGGGGGGGGGATCCTGGCACAGCCACGCAGGGCCCTGCTCCCACACCAGCACTCCTTGGCTGTGGCTGCACACCGGCTGGGTCCCATACCAATCTGGACCCGCCCTCTCCCCTCCCCGGGTCACCGATCACGGGACTGCAGGATGATTTCGTCCTGAGAGGCTGAATGAGTCTCGTCTGGAAAGACCCTCCTTCCAGAAGAGGCCACGTTCTGGGGTTCTGCACACACGTTTGGGGAGACATCGCCCAACCCACCACTGCAGCCCTCGGTGTCGGTCATGAAAGTAAATCACGGGACGCGTCGGCGCCTGCACACTCCGTGACCGGAGGCCAAGCAGCCTGCGGGGCTGCCCCCCAGATCCGGGCCCCCCCAGGCCCTGGGCTCTCTGCCCCCCTCTCCCCCCCGCTGGGCCAGGTCTGGGCCCCACGTCCCCTCACCCACCACTGCTCCCCTCGTCTCCTCCTCTGCAGCTCAGGCCTCAAACCTGATCTTCCCTCCCCACGCCTGCTCCCTGGGGGACCCCGCCTGGGGAAGGCCACCCCCCGTCCAGGGTGGAAGCCAGGAGAGCCGATGGCCCACCCACTGCCCTTCCCATCCCTCCCATGCCATCCCAGAGACCAGGTCACCCCCTGCACCTGGGTTACCCGCTCTGTGGCACCACCACAGCACCCCCACCTCAGGGGCCCTGCGCCCCGCCAGCTGCCCCCCACCTTCCACACCCACCGGCCGCCGGGACCCTGGGAGAGAGCTGGACAGGAAGCTGCCCGGCCAGGCCCTGGCTCAGGCCTGGCCTCCACCACCTCCAGCCGTCCACACACGCCCACCCTGCACGCGGGCCCTCCGGTCAGCCGGGCCGTCGGGACCCACAGGCTCATGAGGTCACCTGCCCAGCTCAGTGGGTCACCACCCCCCAGGGCAGCCCGGGACCCCCCTACCGGGCCGGCCTGGCACCCGGGCGGCCGCCCTGCCCTGGCGCTTCAGCAGGCTTCGCCCACCGGCCTCCCGGGTCCCGGTGCCCCGACAGACTCTGATGAGCCGCCCTCTACGCAGTGCCAGCCCAGCCCCGGCCCCAGGGCTGCGCAGCAGGCACAGTGTCCGGGGGCGGGCAGGCTGGCCAGGGCCCGGCCCGGACGGAGCAGCACACAGCGAGTGCCCGAGGGACGCCCCGCGCCCGGCACCCGCAGCCCTCGCCGGCGCCGGGCGATGAGGTCAC